GGAAAGAGAAACCAAGGAAGAGGAAAACTTAACATACTCATACCTTGTACAGAGCTCATCACCAGGTGTTTTTCTCTGATCTTAAGTACCAAATAAACTTTGATACATGTGGAACAATCTGATGGGGTCAGCCAAGTCATCTGGCAAGTCAAGAAACTTGTGAAGAATCAGAAATATTTAATTTTTTGCTGTACCAGGCAACTGAAGAGATCACACCAGACTTCCCAGCAACGTGCCATACCCATGAGTTGCAGGTGGTAATCCCATTTCCTCTTGGCATTCAACAACACGTAAATTAAAATCGTGAGCTGTCACAAAACGATAGACCTACCTCAGGAGTCAGCATTTCTGAGACGTAAAGATCTTTCTGTCACTGATGCAATCCCGGTTGCCCATTGGCAAGCTAATTAACACCTATGAGATTAGTGTCAGTCTCCAGGAAATGGGAAAAACCCTTTCCAAAATCCCCATAGGAAATGCGTTAGGAATTACATATGGGACGAAATACAGTGCGTCAAAGAGGAAAAGCTAAAAATAGGATAGCGCAAACATCTGCGGGACTGAGTGCGGAAATAATTAAATTGTCGTTGCAAGGAGGTGTCTCATATCCGAGATAACCTTTTGGAGACGTACAAAAGATCGCTCAGCTCAGTCCTCCTCAGTCGCTTGCCTTCGCTTCCAGACACTCCTCGTAGCTGAAGAAGGTAAGAAAAATTTTTCTATTTCTGTTCATTCTGAGAGAGAAGAAACCTCCACTAGGGGTTTTTATGGACCTCCTGGGAGCTGGGACTTAGCTAAATGCCTTCTGTTTGTGCCGTTGAGGTGCTCTGAAGCAGGCATGATGAACGGCAGATGGAGGGACGGGGATCGCCAGGGAAGGTGCAGCAAAGGCACATGAAGGGATCCTTGGCTCACACAAGCTCCGTGCTGTTTCACAAGGGAGATGGAGTTTGGGAGTAGCTCCTGTGGCTCATTGCATCGGCTTGCAGGGGCTTTGCTTCAGACGGCAATTGCCAAATCGAGCTCTGCAGATTAAGCAGGATCGAGGGCGCATTCGGTCTGGATTAGGCAGGAAAAAAAAAAAAAAAAAAAGAGAGAAACAGTTGTCTGGGGAGCTTAAGAAAAAAATTATTTTTAAAAAAAAGAGAAGGGAATATAAGAAGTGAACCTGGGGCTCCTCTCACCACGTTGATCTCTTGCTCCTGACAGCTTTGCCGATACTCCAGAAAGATGTGCTCTCGCGGGTCTTGCCACAACTATGAGTCCTCCTGCCACGGATCCCACTCCTCCTGCCACGACTCGGGGCCCTCCTGCCATTACACCATCCAGAGGCAGCCTGTGCAGAAGTACACCTACGTGACGCCCTATTGCCCTCCTGTCCAGCGCTATTGCCCCCCTGTGCAGCCCTATTGCCACTCCGTGCAGCGTTACTGTCCCCCGGTCCCCTACTGCCCCCAGTACACCAAGAACATCTGCAAGCTGCCACCGACATACCCCAAGTACTAACAGGAGGATCCGGCCCCAGACCTGGACCCACCAGCTCGCTCCTGGCCCAAAGCCTTGAGCTGGTCTCCTTGCTCATCACTTGCCAGCCATGTCGCTTCTCTGCAGAAAATGCTTTTAAAACAGTTAGAGGGCAGTGTGGTATTAGGGCAAAGTCTCTTGGTTTAATGAGTTTGGAGCTGTTTATCTATCTTCTTTCTGCCAATGCAAAGCACACTGTCTGCTGGCAATAGTTTCTTTCTTCCTTTGCAGCTTCATTCTCCAGCAAGACAATAAAAATTGTATTTCAAGCCTACCTACCAGTTCTGGATGTTTTTAGTCACTGCTCCATCATATCTGCTTGTCTGGTGGCATCTGTTCTTTCTCATGGCTTTAGAGCCATGCTTTAATCACCGGTGAAAACAGCTAAAGTAGGAGGAACGCCAGGAAACATGAAAGTCAAGGAAAATGCCCACGGCTCCCATCAGTGATGCCAGGAGCTCTGCGTCATGCGCAAAGGGATAGGAGAAACACATCGGATTAATTCGTGGTGAAACCGAATATTTGCACTGAACTCAGGAGATGCAATTGGTTTCCAGAGTTACAGACGGGGGCCTGGCCTGCACGTTCATGTTTCTACAGCAGATGCGATCTTTAAAAGCCGCTGCTATATTTGGAAACAAAACAAAGCGAATCCTGCAAGGTTTGGAACCTGCCTTGGAACACCCTCAATTAAACAATTTCTACAAGGTAAAATGAGAGAAGGTTTCCCTGGAGTGATTCATCCATCCTAGGGCAAACATGGGAAATAGGCTGGATGAGTGGGCACTGCAAGCACCGAGTAAATGACAAGTTGGTATATAAGTAATTGGAATTAGTTATTTATAGGTTACAGAGAAAATTGTCATTATACAGGAAGAGCCTGTTAAAAAGGGAAAGTTGTAAACAGGATGCAGAGAGCAATTAATTATTCACCTGCATTCAAGTTTCTGCCATTGCTAAGCAATGGCTCATTTTCGTGGGACCCTTGGCAGCTACATTAAAAACTCTTTTCCTTATTTGTCCTTCACCTCTCTGCAGTTGGGTGCTGAGTCAGTATGGCTTTCTGCCCAAAGGGATGGTTTTGTCTTCCAGGTGTATACATTCACTTTCCCTTGCTGCCCCAGGCCTCCAACTTTCTATTCTGTGACTAATTGCAGCACGTTTTATTTCCTCTTCCTTCTCCAAGCCCCATGAAAGGCACCAAGCCTCTGAACTGGTTACGCTTTCTGCTGTGCTCAAGCTTGAAGTTCCTGTTAACTTGAGGGTGAGAAACAGCAGCAGTAACGGGGAAACAAAAATGAAGCTCATTTGGTTTTGTTTTGTTTTTCTTTCATTTGATTTAATTTCTGTTCTATTCTAAGCTTTCATCAGCCCTGGAGAGGTTTGACACCTGGAACATCAAGGACCAAAGACTTTATGAACACTTTACCTCATTAGAATATTAAAAAAAAAAAAAAAATCAGAGACCATCAGCATTTGGCAAGAGAAGAAGTCCTCTACACCTAACACTCTAGATAGCTTAGAGGAACATTTCTGCTCTGCAGAGAATGTGTTAAATAACATAACAGCAGATTTCCACAACCAGGATAAACTGTGAGCAAACCCCTAAGGATTAATGAGGAGGAATTTGCCTTAAATGTTTCATGGCAACAATTGCTTCACTGCATCTGTAATTCTCAAATCCAAACCAACAGAGTGGCATCACTCTGGGCATCTTACAGAGCCTGCTAAGTTCATTCACTCAATACAAAATTTAATTGGGATCTATTTTTTTTTATCAAATTTGAAACTTTTATTTTGTAAAAATCTTCTCTTAAAATCATTTATGGGTGTTCCAACTGTCTACGGATCTGTCTCACATGGCTTTAGACATCTCTGATATTCACATCCAGCTGTAACAGTAGCAGAGTTTTTTTTGACATAGAAGGACACCAGATGAAGCAGTGCACCAGATCTGTACAAAGTCATGCAGAAAACTGCCTCATTTTGACCAACATCTCTTACTTTACCTCACTGCTCAGGATCCTCCATGTTTCTGCTGACAGAGTCTCCTTTCATCTCTCTGCAGGCTCAAAAATCCCCTCCTGGCCATCTCCCAGGTTGCCATGAGCTTCCTTTATTGTAGGAGAGATGCAGGTACTCAGCTGTTGTAAATCTCTATCACTAATTAGATTATAATATATGACAGAGACCTAATCTAACCTGCTAACAAGCATGAAGCCAAACTCAATGGGAAACAAAGCCTATGTTTTAGTGGATAGCACCGTTGACCTTGGAAAGAGCTTGCCTGGAGAAGTGATGACTTCATGGTGCTTTGAATTCTTCAAAGCCAGACTGGGTAGCTTTCTAAAAGCCGGGATGTAGCCAAATGAAAACAGCAGCTACCCAACCGAAACTGAGTGGAAATGGATGCTTCATGTCACCAGAAGTCAAACTGAAGACTCACGATGGCCTGTCCTGTCCTCAGCATCTGTGATCTGGATCGCACTGTGTTTCTGTGTGAACAGAAACAGCCTCAATCTTCTCTCCTTCACCTCAGCAGAAATCAGAATATCTTCAGTGAAGCTGTACACTGTAGGGTAGGGTGGTCAAGGGTCCTTTGGTGCTCTGCTCCCACAGATGCACAGCCCCCAGCAGTGGGAGCAGCCCTCCTCCTCGGGCTGATCTCAGAAATGAAACATTTAATCACGTCAGTCATGGTCCCGGGTCCCGTGAATTCCATCTGACCAGAAAAAGATAATTTTTTGAAGATACGTAGTTTAATTCGACATCCTAAAGATGTTCAGGGCATCATGTGAGGCCTTCAGGCTTTCATGCAAAATGGATATTAACGTCATTAATGAATAATTGCAGCATGATCATTAACACTAGCACTAATGACTGCCAATGGGTGACTGAGAACTGAGCATAGAGTTATTTCAAAAATAGCATCCGTAGGTGGATCTTTCATTACTCAAGGGCATATTAGAACTTAAAAAAAATGGAATAGGAATTTTGCAGATCAAGTTAAGCTAAGTAGAAACAGGACGTAAAACTTCTAGAAAAGTTTTGTGTTTTCCTTTTATTTAACGATGTCAAAAGGAATTGGAAAAATATGGACTCTGGTTTGACCCAAATTCTATTCTAAATTTCCAGGATGAATGCACAGTCTTCTGCACCTAAAGTTTCTGATATTGACAAGGTCAAGGGCATGCTTTCCCTCCTTGCATGCATGGGATGAGGAAGCGAGGGATGAGATGTCAAGAACTTTCTGTTACATATTTGCCCTTCTGATGACCAGAGACCCCAAAGAAAGACATTGGGCTTCACCATTTCTGCATTCAAAAACAAAACACGAGGCCGTGGAATTACATTCGCTGAATTTTATTTTTAAAAATCATATTGAGGAGTGACTGATGTCCAGAAGGTCTCTGCATGCCTCTGGAATCTACTGCTCCTCAATCTTAATTATGATTTTTATGTTAATTGAGCACTCACTCGCTCTGAACAAGCCACTCAGCATCTCAATGTAACAGCGTTACCATATGCAAAACGAGTAGAAACATACCTTTTAAGCAGTTCACAAGCATCACACAAGAATTAACCTGACGTTTAAAAAATCGTAAAAAATTTACAGAACAAATTGATAATAACACAAAATTGAGGGGTTGGTCAAAAACAATGGGGCAAAGACTAAATAGATGAAGGCACATTCAACAAATAAGTATAGGCTTAGTGCCTAAATCACAAATTGCTGTGGGGTACCTCATTTCCGGCAGGACAATTTCGAGCTAAATAAAAGGTCTCCCCGTCCCTTTGCTCCTCACTCAACTGCACCGCTCAGCTAGCACGGTAAGTGTTACCTATTGGCAGTGTTCCTTGACAGCAATGGTTCTCATTTGGTTTTGGTCAAGCAACGAATTGAAATGTGTCTTTGTATCTGATCTTTGTAGGGTGTTGGACTAGATGACCTTTGAAGGTCCCTTCCAACCCAAACTATTCTATGACTCTATGATCTACGGCTCTCTCTGTAATGCAGATTTTCCTAGCCTGTTGGTCTATTGCTTATTGCAAAAGACAGTTGGTGGGGAAAGCACCACAGAAAATAAGCTTCTTGGGATGGAAATTCAGGGAGCGGTCTTCGTGGATGAGCACAGGACAGTTAGCTCCTAGGATAGTTCGAAAGATGCATAAATATTACTGGGATAGCGACAGGTGGCTTGATGTCTGTAAGGATCTTTATTTGCAACTCAAGACAAATAAATAGGAAGCGGTGTGTGATATAGCTACCACCTATGGGCCTAGACAGCAGCATTTGTATGCCAAAATAAAACACTACGTGCACCTGAAGATGGGTTGTGTCTGAAATCTTGATGTGTTTCAGGTCCTTGCTCCTTCCACCTTTGACTCCACGACAAACAACATGTGCTCTACCGGATGTTGCTCTACCGGATGCTGCTCCATCGTGAAGAGCAAAACGGTCTGCTGCAGCCAGCCGTGCCAGAAGACCATCTGCTGCAGCCCATGCCAGAAGAAGACCATCTGCTGCAGCCCATGCCAGAAGACGACCGTCTGCTGCAGCCCATGCCAGCAGTCCTGCTGCTGCGACCCATGCCAGAAGCCCTGCTGTGATCCGTGCCAGCAGTCTGTCTGCTGTGACCCATGCCAGCAGTCCTGCAGTGACCCATGCCAGCAGGCCTGCAGTGACCCGTGCCAGCAGTCCTGCAGTGACCCATGCCAGCAGGCCTGCAGTGACCCGTGCCAGCAGTCCTGCAGTGACCCATGCCAGCAGGCCTGCAGTGACCCGTGCCAGCAGTCCTGCTGCTGCGACCCATGCCAGAAGCCCTGCTGTGATCCGTGCCAGCAGTCTGTCTGCTGTGACCCATGCCAGAAGCCCTGCTGTGATCCGTGCCAGCAGTCTGTCTGCTGTGACCCATGCCAGCAGTCCTGCAGTGACCCATGCCAGCAGTCCTGCAGTGACCCGTGCCAGCAGTCCTGCTGTGACACATGCCAGCAGTCCTGCAGTGACCCGTGCCAGCAGTCCTGCAGTGACCCATGCCAGCAGTCCTGCTGTGACCCATGCCAGCAGTCTTGCAGTGACCCGTGCCAGCAGTCCTGCAGTGACCCGTGCCAGCAGTCCTGCAGTGACCCATGCCAGCAGTCCTGCTGTGACCCGTGCCAGCAGCCCATCTGCTGCACCAAGGTGTGCCAGAAGTCCTGCTGCACCTGTGGCCAACGAACCTGCTGCTGCTGCGGCTGCCCTGGAAGTCTGTCCTGCTGCTCCTACACGGTGAAGAAGAAGCCCGTTGTGGTGTGTTGCAGCCCCGTGCAATACTGTTCTCCCTTGAGGAAGTATTGCATACCCATCCAGAGGTGCTGCGCCGCAATCAAGAAGTCCTGCTGAGCCAACTCGGGGTAGCAAAAGCAGGTCCGTTGGCTTCCATCTCCAGCGTGCAACAAGAACAGGCGCAAGGAGATGAAAACCTGCTCATTTGCACATGATGATGGCTGACATGATGATGGAGTAAACATCGAGCGATTTTCTTCTTGTTTTCAAACTTAAGCTGTCTTCTTCTTTCTGTCCTTCAATTTTTGAACATTTGCAACGCCCTTGATTCTATCACTTGTTGTATAAGGCAAAGAGCTATTAGATATTAGTGGGGCTGTTAATTCTCTTTGTATGGGACTTGGGTACCTTTGCTGTTAATCTGATCATTCTTCACTTTCTCTCCTGACTTGTAGAAAATAAAACTTAGCATTACGCAAAACGCAAAATCTTGTCTTTTGGTTGTTCTTACATCGCTTTGCCCAGAACGTGTCTTCATTCTGGTGCCATTTTCTGTGCCTTTGGTCAGGCTCTTGCTGGCTACAGATGTGCTCCTGTGGCACAGCAGAACATTCAGGGAACAAAACGCTGCCCAGTCATGCTTCCCGTTGGCATAAATTATGTTGTGTCCAAAGACAGCAAGCTGAGCAGTACGAACCTTTCTTGCACCTACTGATCATCTGCCTCGGGTAGCTCAATTTTTACTCTAAAAGTAAATGGTTAAGGTAAATAAACCCCAAAGGACACAGACTGAATGAAGCATGTGTCATTCCACCATCTGAAAACACTCCGTTCCATAAGACGTATAGGAACTCATCCCTGATACTGGAAAAGGTATTTCGATAGGTACTGAAAGGAATTCACTACTCACTGAATAGTGGGCACCATCTTCTTCCACTACCTTCTTCAAAAATCAAATTTCAGAGGAGATCTTAAATCGGTGAATGATTTTTATGTGAGCAGAGATTTTCATACGCGACGTTCCTGGATTACAAACGGTGGAACGAAACTCAGGTGTTAGCATACTACTTAAAAGCTTCATTCCTAAAATAGCACACACATGAGTCAACAATACCTTTTCTACCTGGCCCGGACTTCCTTTACTATTAAAATTCAGGACTCGACTCTGGATTGCACGTCTCAGGAAAACGCCTTGAGCGCTGTCTTGATTGCTTCCCTCAACTGAATCTTCAGAGCATACGCAAAGTCTGCGTTAGAATAATCTTCTCTACCACCTCAAACTCTTCTGGAAACATTACTCAGGTTTTTAGGAGTTTTTATTAATAAATAAATCAGGTACAAAACACTGGCAGAAGGATGTCCTATACCATACCATAATATACTATATCAGAGTGCATTCTGTTAAGGAAATCTTGTGAATATTAATTTCATATGCTGGAAAAGCTGCAATGACAGATTCTTTCCTGTTTGCAAAGCTATTGCAGCTCTTAAATTCACATAACCACCTTGGAAGTTGACAAAGACATCATGGCATGGCATGGCATGTAGAAGAGGTCTAGTGTAGAAGATGTTATTTCTGACTCAACTAAACACTAAACGCCCATATCTCAGTATCTGGATTAACAACGGCCTTGCAGGGTTGATGTCAATTTCTAAGAAAGACATGGACCTGTTGGAGCAGGTCCAGAGGGTGGCCACTAAAATGATCAGAGGGATGGAGCACCTCTCCTATGAGGACAGGCTGAGTGTCGGAGTTGTTCAGCCTGGAGAAGAGAAGGCTCCGGGGACACCTTATTGCAACCTTTCAATACTTAAAGGGTGCCTATGAGAAAGACGAGGACAGACTTTTTAATAGGGCCTGTAGCAATAGGACGAGGGACAATGGTTTTAAACTAAAAGAGAGGAGATTCAGACTAGACAGAAAGAAGAAAGTTTTTATGAAGAGAGTGATGAAACACTGGCACATGTTGCCCAGAGAGATGGTAGATGTCCCATCCCTGGAAACATTCAAGGTCAGGCTGGATGGAGATCTGAGCAACCTGATCTAGTTGAAGATGTCCCTGCTTATGGCAGAAGGTTGGACTAGATGGTCTTTGAAGGTCCCTTCCAACCCAAACCATGCTATGATTCTAACACAGGGACCATCTTGGCCAATATGGTGTCAAAAAGTCCTAATAAAAAGGTGATGAATGATTTATTCGGTAAGCGACATATTTGACGGTTTACACAAAGAGGGCACTACTTCCTCCAGGCAGGTATCCGGCTATTATTGTGTGACCAAAACAATGCTCCCCTAGGCACAATTCCAGAAGAGACACCCAACGTCATAGGAAGTCATGTTCCCATCTTGGGAAGAAACTACACGCCCCAGTCATCAGAGATCACCTGCCACCACTCCAGCCTCACATTCAGAGTCTGCTGAACATGACAGCAGCCTTTATTTGCCATGAATAGATGTTGCCTCAGCATCTTGGGACTCTCATCTTATACTGGTGTCCCCTCTCATCAGACGAAACATCATCGACATCTTCTTCTTAAGTGGAGCTGTCCTGCTTCTGCAGTGGCCACAATTCCTTCCCCCATTCCCAAGCCTGTTTCCTAATATCTACCTTGATTCCAACCATCTTATCCATCTTATCCATTCCCTCCTTCAGTCAAGTTTTGCATGCATAGAAACCTTGGCCCCAGCACACTGCAGCCAAAACTACTATAAGCAACTGCTGGAAAAGTCTTGTCAGGTGCATCTATGCACCTATCTCTGAGATGCAGACTCGGAGCATCTATGAGATACTAGCTGGGCTTCCAAGCTGAAGGAGAAAGGCATGGAGAAACGCACTTGAGATTGGATTTCCAGTCTTGAACCTCATGCTTGCCTACAGTGACATAGAATCAAGTTTTAGTGTGAAACACTCAGATGTGATCATCACGCACGCCATTAAATACAAACTGTCTCGGTCTCACAGACCCTAGAAATAATCTCAGAAAATGGAGTAAATAGAAACAACATAGAAAAAAGTTGGCATGTATGCCCTACTGCTTTGAAAGCTGCTTAATTTAGACTTAATCCATCCCTTCCATGGATGAAAATTTAAAAAATTCTTGATAGTTTAGCAGAAATAAAAAGCAGAGGATGTGAGGACCAAGCACCATGGAGGGAGACCCATGAACAAGACTGAGAAAAGGAGAAACCCTTCAGCCTTAGGTTTGAACACAGAGCTACCTCTCAGAGGCAGGAAAAAAAGATTTACATTGACCAACATTTTCCACTGGTCCCCCAAAACTCCAGCCGAGTGCAGAGGGGACACATGAGCGGTGACTTTTCTGAGTTCCAGGCATGGTTCTCCCACTGCTTCAGCACCCATCTGCCCCGGGCACATTGTTAAGTGTCTCTGTGTCTCAAGGTCATTCCTTGGGAAGTGGACAGGGATACCTTACAGCTACCTCTGCTTCCCATGAATGCAAATTCATTAGAAAATTTGCATCTGTTGTTTGTACGTATAACTAATTACGGTGTAGAATTGAGGCGGTGAGCAAACAGAAAGAGGTAAAGATTAAATACCGGAAGACACGTGAAGGTCATACACTGCGTGATACACGGTGGAGTCAGAATTGCCAAAGAATGCCTCATTTCCAGGGGGATGGCTTTGAAGCATATAAAAAGCTCCCCATCACAGTGGTCTTCATTCGCTCATCTTGACTTCTCCTCTCTTGTCCTCACTGGTCAACAGGGTAAGTCAGAGCTTACTACTTGCTTTTTCATTTGCGCTCTACCATACTTCTGTGTGCTTTTGCAGGAAGCTATCCAGGATCTCCTGTACTCTCTGGTTTGGGACCAATTTTGAGAGATTGGTTTTGGGATCCACCTGGGTGTCTTCTTTCTGTTGGAACCAGTGCTGGACAATGTGCCAAATGCACTGGGTGTACAATGCAAAAATGTGGAGATCTCAGGGAAGGTTGTCATGGGATTCTGGACAGTAGGGACTTTCCAAGCTAGTCTGGGATGGACTTTGGGATAAGCATGTTTTAAGCTGCCTAAAAAACTGGGAGATTCAAGTAGAGAAAAAAAGACTCTCTCTGTTCCTTCCAGCTTTGCCTACACTACTACCGACAACATGCCCAACGGATGCTGTGGATGCGGTGGTGGGAATAACTACTCCGTGTGCTGCTACAGCACCAGGAAGTCATGCTGCAAGACGCCAATGTGCTGCGCGCCCACGCAGTGCTGCTACCCCACCACTTGCTGCATGCCCATACAGACCTGCTGCT